CAATTACAGCATGCAGAAGGGCCAGCTCAGCCTCCAAAAAAGAGTCAGCATATTGCCTATTTGTGATCTCTCTGTGCTTCCATATATGCTTTGACTCCTCTGAATGCCAAGCCACCTTAAAGTGGAAGAAAAAAGCCTTATATAACTAGAGATGGAATTACTCAACAAAAACTGTGTTTACTTTACTTTTATATATGATACGGTGCAGAAACAAATCTCTCCAGTGACTTCTGTTCCTCTTTTGGGCACAGATATGCATCAATCAGACTACTGAACACTCAAAAACATCCACACAAGAAAATCCACCAGTTATGAAATACCACAAGGAAAAATCTAAACATATAACTAGAGATGGAATTACTCAACAAAAACTGTGTTTACTTTACTTTTATATATGATACGGTGCAGAAACAAATCTCTCCAGTGACTTCTGTTCCTCTTTTGGGCACAGATATGCATCAATCAGACTACTGAACACTCAAAAACATCCACACAAGAAAATCCACCAGTTATGAAATACCACAAGGAAAAATCTAAACCAGAAATAGAGGGGGGGGGGGGGGGGTGGGGTGATTAGGAACTCATTTCAGGTTTTACACAGCTGAATAATTTTACTCAGCAGCCACTGATTTAAGAAGTTAGGTCATGCTATAAAACATCAGGGAATACACTCAAAGGAGCCAGAGGGACTATTCAATATGTCCGTGTCCACCCTCCCTTGGAGCATGGCTCAAAGTTCTCAGCAGAATTAGGCTAAAAGGACAGGCAACGAGACCATCTCCCCCTGCATCAGTAAGTCAACATTTACATTTATATATCATGCTAAATGCAAGGCAGTCCCTGAAATGATGGAAACATAGCAAAAAATCAAACCAGAAATGTATGCCTTCCTAACACAGTCTGATCTCCCAGTGGCACGCTGACAAGCAAACTAGGCATTTTGTTCAAGACCTTATCCTAAGGCAGAATACCAAAACTATCAAACACAGCAGAGTTGGCTAGCCCTCTAATCCTGCCCATTTTCTCCAAGGATTACCTAGAAAACCACAAGTCACAGAAATACAGTATGGAAAAAAATACTTGTGACTACTTCCACTAAGAGAATCTTCCATGCACAACTCAGCCCATTATATATTCCTTCCTTTCCCTCTGGTTGAATCCACCAGTTATAATTACAGGTTTTGGACTACTGAAAAAGCATGTTACAGCTATGAAAGTCAGTGCCCTGAGATCTCATACAGCCTCAGAAAAAAAAAAGAAAAAAAAAGAAATCAGAATCTACTCTGACAAAGTCATGAAGGAAGAGCCTTCTGAAAGAACTGGGTTATCCAACAGGTCTGACAAACATCTGTACACTTAGAAAAAGAAAGAACTGAGGAAGAAATAGTTTATAAAAGCAACCTGAATGCCAAGCCTGTCAACTATCATATTAATGTTACATGTGCTCTTTGAGCTCTCAAACTAGAAATCATTAGTCAAATATGATTAATATGTACAACTTTTAATATATAGGTATAAATATATGTGTGCATGTATGTGCATACATACACCCCCCTCCTTATATAGGTTATACCTATATAAAGGCAATACAAATTCATAGATGCTCAGACAAGAGGGAGTCACCCAGTCACAGAAAACAAGGGAGAAGAAATCAGTCAAAGCCATATTTGGCTTTGGGCAACGTGGTCTAGTGGAGGGTGTCCCTGCCCGCAGCAGGGGGGTTGGAACTAGATGATCTTTGAGGTCCCTTCCAACCCAAACCATTCTATGATTCTATGATATTTGACATAAGATTTCCATGCTGCTAATGCTGGATTGCTTTTGGGAAAAGCAGGAAGTTTAAGCAAATGGGAAACACAAAAAGAAGCGTTCATCACAAGGAAAAAGGAAAGATGGGGAGCTCAAACATTTCAACCAGTTCCACAGCCCCTAAAAAGCCAGAGAACTCCAAATCTCTACAAACTAGCTACAACTTTGATGCTGCTAAGGAATAGTCTTATTAGCTAGTGTTGTTTAGAATTGTTTTTCTATTTGATGCTATTTTCTGTTGTTTCCAGTTTTCTAATCAAGGATTAAACCCCTTGTTTTGCTAGAATAAAGCCAGTTTTAAGATTGTCCAGTGCCTAAAAATGCCTAGCGATTAAAATGAACTGAAGTGACTATTAGGCACACAGCTTTCAAAGACTGCCAGTCTGACTGGGTTTGGAGAAATCCTTTGAGGTACCTCTATATCGAGACCAATTTAACCTTCTTGGACATTGGCCAAAAAACAAAGAACAAAAAGTCTCTGTGCTTAGAGATCCTGGTGTCAAGCACCAGGGAAGAAGGAAGTCCAAGGAACGCGGCAGCATGAAAACCTTTATGCAAGAGAATGTTTGATATATAGGTATCAAAATTAAGTTCACTGGTGAACTATTTCATTAAAGGGATCAGCAGTATAATAGTTCCCTCTGAAATTTTCCCCTCACTGCTAGACTAGAGTTAATTAACAGTCCATTGCCATTAATCTGTGTTTATGCTAAGTTACTCACGAAGACAGACAATAATTGCAAGTCCCACTCATCACTACTCTACTGCATCTTCTGCTATACATTCCTTGGATTTTTACTCTTCCCATTGGACTTAGCTTCCAGAATCACTTTATATAAAGTTCTGGGTACCTAGCATATAAATCTGCAACTGCTTCCTACATGTCCTTCCCAGTTACCAGATGGCACCTTACATTTTTTTTGCTTTTCCTCCTCTCTCCAAAAAGCCAGCTTATGAGGGTAACATGACAGAACTGACAAAAACATAATAAGTAATGTTATTCTTCCTTCCTAGATGAGCTTCAGAACATCAACTTGCTGCTCTCTAGAGCTTTTCCCAAATAGCAGCCAACAAACTCATACGCAGTTAATCTTCACATGCCGCCACCTACATGGAAATACTTGCAAGCCAATTATATATCATTTTGTACTGAACTGCAAAGAGACCTTGCAACCTGAACTGTAACACTACCCTGCTGATGTTTTGCTGGGTGTACCTTTGCCCTAGGGACTGGTTCACATTTGTCCCATTTTGCAACAGGGTAGCAGTGGAAATCTCAAAAGGATAGAGCAGAGGCATGGAGAAAAAAGAGCAGAAAGGATTTGAAAGAAAACTTCTCACTGAAGCATTAAGGTTTGCTGGTCATGGATAGAGACCACATTTTTAAAAACAAAACTAGCTTTGCCAAGAATCAGCCACATGGAGTTCAAATAGCAAAGTGGAAAATCGAGCCTCAAGCTAACATCAAGTTAAAGATTTCCAAAAGAGTTTTACTCAAGTTACTGTTATACAAAGGCTCCTGGAACAGTGTTCTGAGAAGTTTTAACACTTCTGCTGTTTGCAGATTTCTGAAAGCCATTAGATAAGGCAGTTGTCTTCTGCTTGTTTCACGAAATTCTACTTCACTCTAGCCAAGTTACAGGCTGGTTAAAAAAGCAAATAAAAACCCCAAACCAAGCCCAAACTTCACAGTATTTCCCTTCTTGTTCTCCATGCTACTTGAAGAATTTCTGGTTATATGCTAAATGAGCACAACATAGTTTAAAAAAAACCTAGACTGCACTACCAAAAAAACAGCAATGGCCATTTAACACTGGAAATGCTTCCTATCACCAGGCAAGGGGAAGGAAGAGCTGATCCAAAAAAAAAGTAAAAAAAAATTAAATCACATTTCTCCTCAAGTCCTGCAAAGCGGTTTTGCAAGCTTTCCATAGGCACAGACACGGCATAAGGCCAGGTCTCTCTACAAGCACCTCTCAGAGAGGTAACAACAGAGCTCCTCCAATTGCTCCTCTATGCACTGCACAAGACTGCAGCAACCCACCACCACCAGTTCATCCCGGAGATGTCAGCTCCTTCTCTAGCTCCAGAGACCATGAAGTGAGTGAGCTGCCTCTCCCATTCTGTTGACTCACTTCATAGCAACAGCTATTAAGGGCTTTCACATAGCCATCAGCTCTTGTATACAGTCCTTTACAGGATTGTGGGCACATGTGTACCAGCAGCTGATGACAGCTAAAGATGCAATTGGCTTTAAAAAATGAAAAATTATAACATATATATAAAAAGATCAGAGGAAGTTCAGAAGGTCATCTAGCCCATTTTCACAGCTTACATTAACTCTCATATGGGCCACAAAGACTTAAGATGGGTTTGGGGGGGTTTTTTTGTTTGTTTTTTTGGTGGTTTGTTTTTGTTTTTTTTTTTACACAAACAGACTTCATGGATGACCCTGTTTTCAGCATGAGGTTGGACCAGATGCCATCTTGAGGTCCATTTCATCCTGAATTTTCCTATGATTCCTAAAATGCTGATACATACATAGACAAGGAAGCTGTTAGAACTTTATATTAAAACAAAGCCTTTAAAAAAAACCAAAACCAAAACAACCAAGGAACTTGTATACCTAGACTGAAAGAAAACATAAATGGCAGTGTCTACTTCTTGAGACTTATTAAATCCAGCTATTTGCTCCTCCTTTTGGAGCATAAGCATTCTGACAAATACTACAACCACACGATCATACATTATTCTTTCCTCTGGGCTTTGAAACCCAGTCTGTATATAGAACAGATGCACAAGGAAGGAAGACAAGCATAAAGAGACTAAGTCACGTAAGTGCTTTAGAGTGCTTAACGCTAAACCCTAGAAAAACATATCTGCACATATGGAAAGGTAGTGCTAGAAGGTGCAAGTGAAGCCCAGCTGTGCTCCATTAAATGAAAAGAGAGGCAGCGTGTACCCAAATCCGTTACGCTATTGTTGTGCTACACTAATAATACTACTCCTCATGGACGACATGCTTCCATACTGAAAAAGATCTGCTTCAACATGATCTGTTGGGTACCACTATAGCATTTTTGCCATGTTATCATGTCTACTATTTTCATACCCCTGTCTCCAGAAATTCAAACAGTTCAGTTATACCCCAGATGGTTACCAGAAGGCATTTCCCTGTTTTTCATTCTTACCTTCTCTCCACTAGAGTAGAAGAAATAACGCAATCGGACAATGTTACAATGATCCAACTTTCTCATAATCTGGAGCTCTCGGTTCTGAAACAAGAGAGAAAAACAATTAGGAAAACTCTTTTCTCAACAAGTTAGAGTACCGTAATGAACACCTTAATATACAGATACAGTAGCTGATAAAACTAAGGAACCAAAGAACAGCTAAAGTTGGAGAGAGGCAACAGCTTTCACACATTTATTAGTCTGTTTTTATCATTGACAATATAGACATCTTTAAGTACATTCTCCCTCTAAAATAAAGGTCCACAAATCCATCACAAAATCCAAGAATTACCTGCTTGCATTACAAAAGTTTCAGTGGTAAAAGACAAGAAGACATTTCCATTTTTATTTTCTGATGTTACAGTACTAGAATATATCAGCCAGAATGGTTGAGAAGCCCATCCCCATTTAATACTGTAAAAGTAATGTAAACAATGTAAAAGCAAACATAACATTTCCACCTACACGCCTGCCCTCCTCCACACTGCAAACCAGCGTTATGATGGAAGATCATTTCCCCTATCATTCTCTTTGCAATACCAACAAAAAGCACCTGAAATTGAGTAGGCAACTCAGTTCCCACTTTTGTTCAACTAAGGTTTAACCAGCTTTAGGCAGACAGAATAACAGTGTTGGGTTTTTTTAATATATCAACCTGAAAAAGCTGTTAAAATAATATCACTTTGTTGCATGCATGATAAACTCGGGACTTTACTGCAATACTTTACTGCAATACACATGGTAACTGAGACCACAAATGAGGGATCTTATAGCCTAACAGATAAAAATAAGTGAAATGTTGAATTGCAGGTATGAATAAAAACAAGCAAGTAAAATTACCACAGTTATGTTTGGTTTACTTCATTCCACAGCTGTTGCTACAATACTCCTTTCTCCTACGGTCACATTTATCCATCATTGTTTTTCCTTCCTCAATTACTATACAGTCCACAGCTTCAAAAATAGAAAATATTCCAATTTTTACTTGGATCACAGGGTTGCTAATTGTACATCCTAACTAGCTAGGACCAATACACTAGACTAATACACTGGTCCCACTAGCACCATTAACTCTGGCCAACTTCAGGAATATTTGGGAAGAAAATTCTTTAGCCACCACATATTTTCATACTTAAATGCACAAAGCTAACACATACTTTGTGTGGTGCTGTTGAAATAAGGATTTCATAGTCTATGTATCAAAGGGTCACGTATGGTGCCTATCACTATGATTAAAGCTTAAGGGACTCTGCAAGAACCACTCAGAGCTTCTTATGTGAACATGGCTATGAACTCAATGTTTTTAATTCCTCTAAGCCATGTAGCCTTAAAAAAAAAGGTGTTAGATAGGATGCAGTACCATTAATCCTATCATGCCTGCCACCCGCTGACTGAAAAAATACTACAGTATTAGCCAGGTCTTTACAAACATGAGTGACATCTCACACAATTATCAATTGGCAATGACCCAGCTAGTAGTTAAGGAGAAAGCAAGTCCTTCCCCTGAGCCTGCCCAGCTTCTGAACTGATTAAAGCCTAAGTCTGTTAGGTGCACACCAAGAGTGGCCTATTCTGTCCTGAAAGATGAAGAGAGAACATAAGAAAGCAGGGAAAGACCTTTGAGGCTTTCATGTATCTCTTGAAATCCCATGGGGTGAAATTTGTAAAAGATGAATACAGGCTTCATCACAACCTTATCAACATGCCTCAAATCTCACAGAGAAAAGTGTTCTCCTGGTAGGAACAGGAGCTCAAATACTCTCCACTTATTCTTTATTAAATGCTATCAAAATGAAGTCAGTTTTGAGAGCCACAGCTGACGCATGGCACAGTTGAGACCTCAGACCTCATCCTCTCATCTTGTCTGAACCACACGCTACTGCTGGCTCAGCGGTATCTCCCTGGACTTTACAACTGGGGGCGGATTTCAAATAGCAAGCCAAAGTAGGGATGGCTCTAGATCCCATCGGTCACTGAAACACCAATTACGACAAGAGATTAATTTCTCCAGTTGGCACTTAACAGCATTACTACAGGACTGAACCTAACACTGCAAATTCCAGCACCTCAAGTAAATTCCACCAGAAATTCATAGCACAATGTAAAGCAAGTGATTTTTTTCCTCCCTTTCTCCCACTGGCTGTGAGATGGGACTAATACCTTTTATCTCATGGAATTACTGGAAGAAACATGAATACACTAAGCATTAATGTGCAAATATTTGGCAAATATTTTATTTGTTTAAAATACCCATGTATAAGTCACATTATTGCTTCATGTTTTTTAAGATAGTATGTATATGCTGATTGGATAGACTGGAAAAAAAAAATCAGCAGAAGTTACTCTAATGCTAGGCTGAAGTTATATTTATACTCTGGTATCTCATCCTAGCACAAGCACAGTCTGTGCCCACTTTGATGCCTTCCACTCTGATCCATCTCCTTCGGCTCTCATCCTGACCATCTGCTGCAGTTGCACAAGTAGAGCTTCAAGAGGTGCTAATATCAGGAATAACTCATAAACCAGTTACACAGTAACCTATATCTTGCATCCTGTGACTAGACAGAAGGAAACAAATTTAAACTGTCATCTTAGTCAAACAGTCACCTCAGCCATCTTAAAACCAAGCTGACTTCTAATTACCACTCCCTGGTGGAGTTAAAACTGGAAATACTTGAACAGTTGCAAAGCTTGAATTGGATGTGGCGGGGGAACAGCCATTGATGTTCATGTAACAAGACTGATGCTTTAAAGAATTCATTTTTTCTCAGATGAATACTTCAAGTAGTCTCACTTTACCATGTATTTCCCTGTATACATCTTAAAAAAATAAGTCTTTTCACATTATAATGTGGGCTATTAATTACCAGCACACAAATGCACTGGGGGAGAAAAATATCAGATTATAAGCAGGGAACCTTTAGTGAAATGAACAGTGACAGATGTCCTACGCTCAGTACAAGACAGAAAACACATGTCTAAATATAATGCAAACTAAAACCATTTCAAAACATGCTGATGAGAAAGGCTGACAGTGCATGATCAAAATACAGGGTGGATGAAAACATAAAGCTTGTGCTTATTCTTAACTCGTTTTTGTCTTCCAAGAGAGATGGCTGTAAAGTCAAAGACTCAAAGAGGAAGTGATTCTGCTTTCCTGTTCTCCCACCCATCCACACAAAGAGAAGGGTTTAGTTTTCTTACTGATTGAGAGTATTAGGCCTGGTAAGCCCTGAAAAAAGCAATACCCTTCAGCGTCAGCCTTGCCACAAAAGAGGACCCAGCAGATGTCCGTTCACACTGAAACAGAGTCCTGCAGCACACATTCCTTCAAGAAGCCACAAACCAAGGGGACTATGAACAGATTACTCAGCAAATTTCTGTCACAGTTTGATTTATCTAAAATATATTTCTTTATCCAGAAGGCAAGGGCTACTGACACATCACTCCAAGATGAGTGCTTTACAAACAGTACAACTGAGCCCTTCACTAACTAATGAAACAAACCCAGTGTGACAAAACTCTGTTCACCACTTCTGAAGACAACTTTCCTAGCCCAGACTGCCTGTATCTGTTCATCACATTGAAGAAATCTGGTTGCTCATCACGGTTAAAGATGGCCAAGACAACATCGGATTTGTAAGTTCAAAGCATAGCCAATAAAGCTCATGCATGAAGACTCATGCCTTCTCTAGAAACTTACAACCCAAATTCCTCATAGCTGTGCTAATGCTGCAGCATTAGCAAGATCATTTCTGCCTCACTACAGTAATCTGCTATTACAGACAAGGATAACCATCGCCTCCCCCCAGACACACTCCCTTCGCTCCCCATCCAGAGATTTCTAGAGCTATGTCAGTTTGCATTCATCACCCTTAACATGGATCGTTGCCTCCCCTCCCACCCCGTTTCTTACAATGGGGGATAAAATGACTGGATCAGAGACGATGCCTTATGGGCTTGCAACTTCCTGAACTGGACCAGAGCAAACGAAGGTGGAAGATTTTGTCCAGCTCATGTCAGCACAACATTATCAATATATACCCAATGAAATGTAGAAATAACACCTGGATCCAGCTCAGAAAATAATTCCTCAGAGTTTCCTTAGCTAAAGGGCACAGTGGTTTTTGCCTTTTTTTTTTTTTTTTTTTTCTTCTGAAATACCTGTTTAAAGTCTCAACAAGGTTATTTGAGGATTATGTTCAAAGCAGATGAAATGGGAGAAATTAGAAATTTGTATTTTGCCTTGTGTCACAGTGAGGACATGACTTGGTTCTTGTGAACAGATAAGATTGTCCTCTTAAGAGAGGACATCCTTTTGATGGAAGGGCAGGGATAAGCTACCAATCTATTTCAACAAACAACTTCAGCATCAGTCTTTTGCTTAAATTAAGTAAGGCCAGCAACTAAAGTTCATTCTTATTTTTTGTACTTTTTGAACTAGTTTTTATTCTTCTCTGGATAATACCTTCAAATACTGAAGCTCGGTATCTTGTGTTCTTCTATCAGGATGGAAAAACAGAAAATGGAGGATAACTGTCACATGAACTCTGGCGTTATAGATGAATGGAAGCAGCACAGGTAGACCCAAATTTCTCAGTATACACAATCTGCCTCCTCTTGCACGTGTCATGTTTACAGTTTTCTCCTTTCTCCTGCTTCCTTCATAATCATCTCCATTCTACCACATTTCTTAATTCTTCAGTTGGAGCAGGGAGCCACAGAGTTGGGGAAGAAACTAGTTTCCAGCAGGCGCCATGAAGGCAGTGATGAAGCAGCATGGCTTGCTTCCCCCCGCTTCCTTCCACTTGAACAGCCTGAATGACTAGTTACCTCCACTCACCTTTACCTGCTGCACTGCTGAGCCTGCCCGGAAAACAGGCTCAGGCTGAGATCTTGAGAGATTTAAAGCATTTTCACATAGCAGGAAGAAGCCTCTTTATTCTGACCATCTCCCACCACAAGAACAAAGCTGGACTCCAAGCACTAGGCAGCAGGCACATGCTGATAGAGGCCTTTCAATGTGATCCTAGCCAGCTATG